ACTGCAATGTTATCCAAATAGGTAATATAATAGTTTTCATATATCCTGAGACGCGTTACATCTCTTGTAACCAACCCATATCTTATTAATAATAAATGAATCGATTGGATTCTGTCAACCATGCAAGTTGATGACAAAACTGATTCCTGATAAATAACATTTGATGGTAGAAAAGCCATAATACTCTGACATATATATGCTATAAAATTAATCATATGATCAAAAGGAGGGGACCAGATTGCTAAAAAGAGACCTGTTCCTGAAATTGAAAAAAGACTTTTGCTTTCTGTATTTTGGGGTCACCATTTGAAGGAGACTGGCTACAGCTGGCTCCTAAATATTAATGCAAAATTTAATAGGTACATGTACATGGAGGGGGAAAAAGGGACTGCAATGAAACCTGGTCCACATAAACCAGAAATAGTATATGGGAATTTTTTTATTATCATTATTTTATAATATACCTTGTATATGTTGCTTTTAAATGTCATTAAACTTAAAAAATCTCATAACTAACATCCCACTAATGCCATAATTCTTTTTTTTTTGGGTGATTTGTGATTAAATTGCTATAAACCAAAGAAAAATTGTCAATATGAAGTTGTTGTTTTTTTTTTTTTGTTTTTTTTTTTGTTTTTTTTTTAAATTTAATTTAAACTTTAGCCCAATCATAATCCTTAGTACAACAGATACAATTTCTAGGAAGGCATATCCCTGCATTACTCCTCAGGCCAGTCAACCGGTCAATGTGGGCAAGACCAATGTTTACTAAACACCACACGTAACCATTGAACGATCTAAATAAAATTGAATAATTTAATTTTTTAGATTATTCCTGCCATACAAGACTAGGAAATGGTGTGACGTGTCCTACAATTAAAATTCCCAAGAAATAAAATTAATATTTAAATTTCAAATCAATAAGTCTAGAATACCTTATTTTTATTTATTTATTTAATCATTTTGGGAGTCGTTTAAAAACAAAATATTGTTAAACGTTTAATTATTCGATTAATTCAATTATTAAAAAATTAATTCTATGTACATGTATAATTTAGCGTATATTTAAAGAAACTAAATGTTTATGTACATGTAATGGGGCGATTTTTTTTTTTTTTTAAAAACAAACCCCGATATTTTCATTGAAAATTATATAAAAATGGCTTTAGATACCAAAAACATAACGAACGATGGAAATCCCAAATTATTACTATGTGAAGCCTAGATGGATAGTTTATAGACTATTTTGCAGGGTCTTGGTTTTTTAAAGCAAGTTTGTAATTCTGGTTTAAACCCCGACGGATACACTGCATTAAGCAAATTCCCAAATTAGAAATGCAAAAACACTGGATATTGGTTTTGGCAAATAGCAATGGGGGAAAAAAGGTGTCATATTTTGTGAAAAACATGCATGGTTTTTTCCCTTTATAACAAATATGACGTCATTTGAATGTTGCATTGTATGGAAATTCGAAAAATTAAAAATATGATAATTAATAAAAGGATTTGGGGAAAAAAAACTGTACCTCGATTATGTTGAGGGTTAGAGGTAACAGGTAAACTAAGGAAGTTACAGTGACTCTAGTCAGGTGCCTGCTCGACAATGGCGACAACATGTTCAGAACTGCATGAGTTTCTACAGCTAGGCCTTCTCTATGTTTTAGGTCTGGATACGGAACTTCTGGTGATTTTTCTGAAATAAGGTCTTCTGGCCTTCGAAGCTCTTGATACACGTAACATATTTACTTGTATTTGACAATAAATCAGCAGTGATGATCGATTAATTCTTTTAAAAAATCTTTGCGTCTGCTTCGTTCAATTTACAGATTCAAAAGGAATATTCTGAAGACATGCGCATACAAGAAATATCAAGAATTTTTTAAACCAGCCCCATGATTTTGACTTAATGTTTAAAAAACTAAAGTTATCTATCTTTTCATGTAAAACATTAAGCTCACAAATAACCAGGTTTTTCCATATTGGATAAACCCCATTTGTTGTGTTTCAGTTTTCACCTCCCTAGAATCACCTGATAATGTCTGTAGAAATTATTCAATCAATCGATCTCTCTTATTATTCAAACTTAAATAAGTATTCTCTATAATACAATTATTTCAGTCATGAATTAAAATTTCTTTTTGGACAAATATTTTTGCATGGGAACCGGGACTATATTTTTTTGGGGTGATTAGCATATGAGGCACCAGTATGATTTTAACTGACCAATCAACTGAATGAGTATTGCATTATGGGTTACTACGAAAACTACAGGAATTTTACGCTTGAACAACAAATTATTTGTTAAATAAACGGGGGAAAATTTCAGGTTTCTGAATGTCATACTGCAAAAGCGAATTGCGTCTGTATTAATTCCTTTGTTGTACTATCGGTGAATATAATTGCCAGGTGGATTCCTTGGCCGAACACGTGATCACAAACGTAAACAAAGTTTTGTCCATTTAAAATGCATAAGAGGTGCTGCTCATTTTCCTTACCCTTGAAGCGCTGGTGTTCTGAACTAGACACAAACTACATTTTATTTTTTCAGTTAGCAACAAATTAAAAACGCCCGTAATATCTTTCATAGTTTCTTATCTTTGTATTTTGTTCGTAAGAACATTGTTTTTATTTTGCAGTCTATTGACATGATCCTAGATTGACATGAACTACATGTTCGAAGTAAAATGTAAACAATTTGGGTTAACGTAGCTATTCATTCAACGATTGGTCAGTTGCTCGTGGTAAGATCCTCTGTGCGCATTTATAACAATAGCCATGTAAGGCAAACAAAGGTTTGTCAGTGTAGATGATAATATACACATTTTTTTTTACCAGCGAATCGGTCACTAGTTAGCTCTAATTTTCGCCGAAAAGTATAACATATATTGTTATGTTAACACCTTCTCCTTTAGCCACCCATTTTCTGTTGAAAATCATGAAAGTCTTTCAGAAAGGTCTGGAAACATTTATTACAGGACATGTTTTCAAAAGAAACAGGCTATAGCAATATCATGTTTACTGCCAGTTTTATTTATAAAACCGGTTCTACCCTATAACAGCTTTGAATAGATCAACCTAAACCACGTGTCTTGAAATCACAATAATATTGTGGGGTGATAAACATTATGTCGGATTGTACTGTGCATAAAGCATGAAAATAAGTAGAAAAAGGGGAAACGACTTGAACGTGTAAATTCATAGTAAAAGGGATTGCACGGGTATCAAATGAATCAGTTTCCTTTGTTTGTTTGCTGTTTAAAGTCCTTTTCAAGAATTTTTTACTCATATTGAGACTCCACAACTTGCCATTAGAGAGCTGCAAAGTTTGTCCTTAACTCGGCACTTCAGTTTTGTTTGTGTTTCAAAATAAGGGACTTTAATTTAATCATCATTTCAAGCATTTTCATGTGTAGGGTTTTGCAAAAAAATACTATTTCTAATTTCCTATTTATTAGAACACGCAGACACTGAACTGGTTTTACTATGTACATTCGTTATAGAAAATGATAATCAACAATTTAATGCATAAGGAAAAAAAGTTCAACAACAGGAGTCCTACAAATACATTATTATTTATGTTTCCTCACTTGATATAAAAGTATTGTGTCAATAAAAGATTGAATGGAATTCCTTGATCGACATTAACAAAGACTACAAAGTGTCTTTTGTCATATTGATAGGTTGCTGCCAATCCGTGATCTAATCCTTTGAATAATTGTCTGTTGAAAAAAGAATTGAAAGAAAAAATTAATACTAACAACGTGCTTTCCATAGTTTATCCAAATTTTCTTATAATCTATATAGAAAAAACCTAAAAGTAAATCCTGGATATTAGATTTGTTTACCTAGTGGCGTTTAATCAGCATCATTGTTCTCGTCACATATGTACCATTGGTTATTTGGAAATTCCAAGGCGCCCACTTTCCTAGGGACCATTGACCGTTAAGGAAGGCACGTGCAAATTTGTTAAACCACCACCCCCCTCTGAAGTTACCGTAAGTGGCACAGTTACGTCGGTCCCGTCTGTCGTTGTCCCTGTCAAAGGTGGTAAAGTACATCCCAGACAGCATAGAGCGAGAATTCCATGAGTAGTCCAACATACTGTCACCTAAAAAATAAAAGTAAACTATTTTAAAATCACTAATTTTTGTGGGTTTTTCGTTGTTTGCGAGGTAGGGAGAGACTCTGTCTCTCTCTCTCTCTCTCTCTCTCTCTCTCTCTCTCTCTCTCTCTCTCTCTCTCTCCCTCTCTCTCTCTCTCTCTCTCTCTCTCTCTCTCTCTCTCTCTCTCTCTCTCTCTCTCTCTCTCTCTCTCTCTCTCTCTCTCTCTCTCTCTCTCTCTCTCTCTCTCTCTCTCTCTCTGTCTCTCTCTCTCTCTCTCTGTCTCTCTCTCTCTCTCTCTCTCTCTCTCTCTCTCTCTCTCTCTCTCTCTCTCTCTCTCTGTCTCTCTCTGTCTCTCTCTCTCTCTCTCTCTCTCTCTCTCTCTTCTCTCTCTCTCCTTTGTAGAGGTACATATTCCACTTTTATTCACGTACCTAGGTTCCTGTGCCGGGTCCCGCCAGGAATAGTTGATACTTCTGTGCTTCATCGGAAACAGCGAATTGATCGTATGTTTTGTAGAGTGTAGTGCCATTCACTAGTGTGATGGAGACATAGAGAGAGGAGTTATTTCCCTTTGTTAACCGATGAATTACGTCATTTCCTGTATTTAAGTATATTCGAAATACATTTATAATGGTACTGCAAAATAAAATCATTTTTTCATATTGGACACCGGAAAGAGATTTTTTTTAAATCTCTATTCCATTCTTTTTAAGATTTCATTTACAATCAATACATAAAAGAATGTTGAATACGTATTACGTTTTCGTAATATCAGATCAATGATATTCTGTTAAATTTATAATTTCGTTACAATTGTCATTTGTCTAATTGCGGATCAAACACCTGATAGTGTGCTTACCAATTCAGAGGTTCTTTTCCGGTGAACCAAAGCCGGTCTTATAATCCTGTCCAATTTCGGTCAAAGCTCAGGGATCCATCTTGTCGTTTCTGAATTGCCTTGAAGGTTTAACATACATATTATTCAGTAATCATTATGCAGAAAAGGGATTAGTTTGTTACTGATACATGTATATCATGTATTACACCAATCATTAAAATTCGATGATTCCAGCTAATACACAGCATGATATACAGATTCATATACAACATGACATACATGCTATACAATGATTTATAACATGATATACAGTATGATAAAAACATGATAGGATATGATATACAACATCATATACAAAATAATATACAACATCGTATACAACATGATTTACAACATGATGATATAGAACATTATGATATAGAACATGATGATATACAATATGATATACAACATGATAAACAACAGGATATACCATATGATAAAGAATAACTTTTAAATAATCAAGATACCGTCCATCCTCCTTCCATTATGTTCATATCACAGTACACTAGGATCGGGAGGGAATTGTCCTCAAAGGGATAAATTTTGTACACCCCTGTATCAGTGTTACCGTTGTCATGCAGGTCTTTACAATCTACAGGGAGGCCTAAAAATGAAGTAAAAAATCACGATTGACATTTTCTTGATTTGAATAATTTTTGTTACTATAATGCAACTCATTAAGTGTTTGTTACAATGTCAATCTGTATTTAACGAGGCCGAGTCTTAATCGAGTGCGCATGTCTTTTGCGCAGCCTTTTATTTTCACACATTGATAAATGCGACAGTGCAACTTTCCATATATTGTGAATTTGATATTCATAAAATTAACATTATCTGAAACGCCTGGTATAAAAATGTGATTTTACAACAAACATTGGAAAACCATGTTGAAATGGCTCTGACGACATCATTGTTTTCCGATTTTGTAAGCAATACCTGGCACTGAAGAATGGCATATGATTCGCTTATGTTCGTTGACGTCCATTGATTTTTTTTTTTACTAAAAACTAATGACAGAACATCAGAAGAAACATAGCAACATTCTAAATATTGCTATTTTTAACCAAAAAATATCTGCGTCGACAATTCATTTGCACCAATATGTATTTAAAGATGTACCACAATATGGAAATTCAGAGGTATTGGGCCTCGATAATAACGATAGATAAATAAACTTTGTAATTAAAACACAGAACAATCTAGATGGACAAAGTTTTGAAATTTCACAGTTTGGTGACTTTTTACAGCAATTTTCATCTACTTGACTGAAGAAGAATTAGGGTAAAAATGCCCCCCCCCAAAAAAAAAATATCTAAACATGTTATACTTTGTGGTTTTCCAACAAATTCCGATATGGTCCAATAGTAAATTTTTACAACTTTTGAGATGACCCCTGAAAGAAATCGTGGTGGTACACATTGGATTTTTAAACCTTATAACAATAAATATAACATTAAAAATTAATCAACAAAAATTTATCGAAATCCCTAGGATAGAAATAATTAGACTCGGCCTCGTTAAGGAAGCTCTAAACACTGCACACTAAAGACGCTGCGGAGTTCTCATGTAGGGTAGTTTTATGCTGTTAGAATTATCTGTCCTTATAAGTGAGATAAAAAAAATACAGAATTCATAGTTTAATATTTCACAATCTGTAATGGACAAAAATATGTTCACGATATTTTAGACCTAGAATAAGTAATTGAAATCCTTATTTTCATCAATTTTCCCAATGTTGGTAAACAACAATGTTTCTGTTCAAGCATACATGTAGTCCATTGTCTTTGAACATTTTCCCTGCAGAAATAAGGCAGGTACCCCATGTTGAAAATGAATAAAATAGTCTCAAAATCTATACCTTTTCATATATGATATATTGTTCTCCAAGTCCAAAAAGCACTTTTTGTTAAGGGTTTCTTTGAGACATTGAATATACATACATGTAGTATTATATATCATTAATGAAAAAAATCCCCTCTGTACTGCCCTTTAGGTTTATAAGTCATTTTATACGAACGCACAGACAAAGAAATTTTCATTCCCTGCATGAATCATAATCGTAAGTATTTTTAATGCAAATTGACTTGATGCCTATTTCAATTGATGTTAAAACTGCATCGATCGTTTTTTTGAAATATTTTTACTCCCCCGCCCAAATGTTGCAAAGAATAATGATAAAAGCATATCCCTAAAATGAGCTTATACATGTTCAAAATAAAATTTTAATAGAAATTTTATAAATTCTGGCTGTTCAGCCAAAATAAAACATGTGTTTTTGTAACTGTTACACGTATTAATATATAATTTTCAAACATCTCAAGAAAAATGGCATATAAACATTTTAGATTTTGAGAATTATTTAAAATAGCATTTTTTGTGACCTTTTCTTTGTTGGACGTCGGCTTCTTAAGTATAAATTTATTTATGATTTTGTAAATGTGAGTTTAATTAAGAATATTTATTGAAAGCCTCAGAGTTAATCAGTTACAGAGATAGGATTTAGGAATTTTGAGTTACTCCGTAAAATAAAATTTTATAATAGATATGTGACCCTTTTGAACCTGCTTCAAATGCAATTAATCAAAACCGCTTTAAGTTTAACAAATACTTATATTTCATAATTAGTGAGAGAAAGTTTAATAAGTAATTTTATTTCATAATTTGTGAGAGAAAGCAGTTGCTTACGGTTAAGAAAAAAGTACTCCCATCCTGTCTCCTCCAATGTTCCGGATGTAAAGGTTCTCTTGTGAACACGACACTTATTCAAACTCGGATTATAACCAAAAAAAGTACACGAAGTCTCTCTTTGACAATTCAGGGCACATTCGATCATCGATTGAGAGCCGTATTGTCGTAAAAGGTCATTATTGGATATTTTATTATCAAATTCCGGTTTTGCAGTGAATTTCCTTGTAATGAAGGTACCATGAGCGACCGTAAAGGTGACGACGATCAAACAGACAGCACAAAGCTTACTCATACTCTGCTCTGTCCTTAGGACACCACGTTCGACGTAGAAATTGCAAAGTGATGCATAAGCGCCAAAGTGTAAATACCAGAGCGTTTATCTATTACGAAAAAGTCATTGGCTACTTATGACTTATTTGGTATTCATTTATCACTGAAATATCGATTTTCTTTTTAGATGGAAATGAAGGGAGGTCCTTAATATGAGTTATGAAATCTGATACATTGCAATTGAATTTCGTATTTATTTAACATTTATAGCATTATAAGGGATATTCAGATCACTTTTATCTTTTCTAATGAAAATAATTATGCAATGTATATGTATATATCTTGAATTTCTTCATTTTTGAAAGATTCCATTGTAAGTTACCACTTTCATAACGCATACTGTTTGCTCGTTAAAGACCTTTCATACAAAATGAATGGACAACAGTTTTTAAAGCTTATTTTATTGTAAGTTTTATTATATCTAATATAGTTTACAAAGTTCATCTATTGCAAAGAGGTCCTTGTGTTTCTTCATATAATTAATCTTCTAAGTATCCCATCACTAATAATGCTTATGACAGGGTAACTGCTGTCCCCATAACTGTTTATTTTATCTGTAGATTTAAGATACAAGTGTCGGTTTTTGCTTTTTGAGTTTCTTTACACACCCACTCCGAAAGAGAGAGAATATGCTGTTTTGCCCGCCATATTTAAATAAACGCTATACAGGACGAAATGTTTTATTTTGATAAATAAGCATGCGCGTTTCGAACATTAGTGTGACACGGATTGTCTATTAAGCTGCCATGCACGGGTACCAGTGTTTCACAAACACATCTTGTTTATTTTTACTTGACGTAATTCATGCGCGGATCTAGAGTTTGTTGTTAACGTGGACATGCTTTTTTCTAGAACTAACACGAGTTTTTAAATATATAATATGCTTGTCTATCCAGTGCAGTGCAGTAATTGGATCTACACTTGTTGTGTTATAACTTTGCATATAGCCTTATATTTTATCGTCTTATCAACATAAAAAATGTGTTATAACTCTTTATTTTATACACATATCTTGAGTTGCATTAAGATGTTTTACATGATTAAATGCAACTTCTTTTTTTTGTAGATTTTATCGACTGGAATAATATAATTTTCAGATACTGATCAAAGCACGATATTGAATAACATCAATATTGTATTGTCGATATGAAAAAAATATAGTTATATGATATTAATGCCCTGTTCACACGACAAGTTTAATTCGCATAAATTAATGGAAGTAAACTAATGTGAATCAAACTAATGCGAATTAAATTGCGTTCACACGACAGCTAATGCGAAGTAAACTAATGCGAATTAAAATTTTACTTCGACAGTCAGGCGTAAGTAAGGCTAAATTATGACGTCATTTGCAAATCATGTCACCTTATGCAGAAGCAGATGCATTTGACATAATGTCACAGTTTCTGGAGACATATTTTAGTGATTAATAGCCATTCTCCGTAACCACTTAAACTTCGTTGCCACGCATGGTCACCGATTTTTATGAAAATTCATCCATGCTTAGTACTTGACACCGGAAACAAATATCAAACAAAATTTCGTTGCTAAGATTCTCGGTTGCTATGGCAACAGCCGGAAAAGTTTGAAAAATCGAGATTTTCAACCACTTTAAATCTTGACGGGCTTAATAAAAACTAGAAAAAGCAAACAAACCATTCTCACAAAAACATGACACCTTGATGTTACTTATACTGTAAAGAAACTGTTTAGAATATATCTCTAAGTAAGGGGTAACCAAGGGTACATTTGGAATACATTTAAAATGCTGAAATATGCTGAAAAACCTCCAATTCACTAATGGTGGTGTTACATGCTAAACTCAATCAAGACTTAAGAAAAACAATGAAAATGTTTGACCTTAAGTATATAAGTATAAGCAATATTATTCTATAAATAACTTTTATGGTTGCCATGGTAACACAGTGTAACCATGCAAAACCAGTAACTAAGAATGGGTTAATGCTACTGTCTTGGGGAAAAACAAAAAATTTCAAGACTGGCAAATAATGCACCCTTAGGACCTTGCAACACCAAAACCATAAGAAAAATTGGGTATAATTGCTACTTTGCAGTGTTACCATGGAAACAACGTACCAGTGCTTAAAAGTGTATTATTTTTCACTGCATTAAGAATTAAATTGCCATTTAATCAAGAAACAAATTAAGGGACTCAGCTTGAATAGTACTTATCTGTTAGAAATGAAGTTGAATATCATATATTGATAAAATTTGATGAATAAAACAACACTGTTGCTATGGTTACCAAGAAGGGAAAATGTTCGATTTTTTGAACTTTGTATCAATATTAAACCCTGTGTGCCAACTTCTTGCATCCACTTAGAGATTGGATGATAGTCAAAATTACAAGTCAAGTTATCTGTTAATAAATATCAATCATAAAAGTTTTGGGAATCTACATTTAAGGGTACGTATCCAAGGAAAAAAATTTTTTTCAGGTTTTTAAGCATATATTTTGTTATTTCCATAGCAACGCTCTATTTAAAGAATCTAATCTGAATTTTTTAAATGGGAAAACTTGGAGCACACCAACATCTTATAAAATTGATCATTAGTTATGAGGAACTGTGCTTTTTTTTAAAAGATAGGATCAGATTTAAACATCAGAGTGTTACTTTGAAGGCTTCTTGGTATAAAAACCTTGGTAACCATTGCCAACCAAAGTAAAATATCATATTTTGTTCTTTAATGTTTCAAGGCTCTTTTTTCTATTATTTGGTCGGTTTCATCCTATAATTGCTTTTTATTTTTACGTGTATGACTTTATAAAATTCAATGAATTTTTTTTTTTACTTTTGAATATTTTGTTACCATAGTAACGTATGTAATAGTTGATTTACCAAACATGTTTATCATGCATCTGAGACATCTGACCTTCAAAGTTTGGAAACATATTGCCAATTGTTTGCTTTGCCGCAAATGTTAACTATGGGGGTCTAAACATGTTAAAAAATGCCATTTTTCGACTTTTAAGACATGTTGCCATGGTAACTATAAAAAATAGCAACCAATTTTTCCTGATCTCAGTTTAGGGTATCAATATTTTTCATAGAGAGTTTTGGGGAAATTCTAGACTATGCGTGCCACAGCTCCTATATAAAATTTCAAATATTACAGAGAATGGCCTTTAAATTTTTTTTTGTTTTTCACTCAAAAATAGCACAAGTACTTAAAGCTGATCACCGACATGACGCATTTGACTTTAATTTTTCCCTTTCGCATGCCCCCAAAAATTTTAAATTTGAATTAGCTTCGCTTTGCGTTTACCGGGCTAATGCGAAGTAATTTAATGCGCAGTAAATAATGCGAAGTAAACTAATTCGCATTAAATTCTCCGTGTGAACGCTAAGCGAAGCTAATTCCAGTAAACGTACGTTTAATTCGAATTAAACTCTCCCGGGGAACAGGGCATAACATATGAAAATTTGCGAGAAAAAAATGGAATAAAGTTTTTGGAATTCGCAGAGGCAATTTAAAGAATCTTTAAAGCACTTATTTAGTGAAATCTTATGTACACGTACATGTACCATATATTTCCCAGCGTGTTCAATTATAAACTGAATCAAATTCAGAAATATTTTGAAAAAAAGGGGGTAAAAATTTACCGGCAATGTCCGGTGTATCATTTTTTGTATACATTAAAAAATATGGAAATTCCTTTTTCTTAAATAGGGTTCCATGTAAAAATCATGCAGAGGGAATACATGGGTTTTTTAAAAGAATTTTTTAAACTTTGCATGTTGGTAGATATGCTAAGATGCTCAAAAAAAAAAATATTTTTTTTTAAAATTTTGCCATTGGTATCCATGGCAACTGATAAACTGTTTGGGGCAAAAAATGGCTGAAATTTCCTCTAAAACAGGGAAATCTATCAATATTGAAGATTAACTGAAAAGAAAACTAAACAATGAAACACATTTCTGTTTATTTCTTCTTAAAAACAACATAAGTAGTAGATTGTTACTTTTCATAACTTGTCAAAATATCTTTTTACCAGAAATGTGTTTAATTAAAAACTAACAAGCTAATTCAGAGAATTCGTGTCCCCCGCTTAGGGAAAAAATCGGCTCCCCCTGACTGAATTTGTAGAATTATTAAATTATACATGTATACTGAAGGAAGTAAAATACATGTATGTCAATATGCATATAAAGATTTGATTGCTTATTCTTTATTATGTGTATGAAGATTTTTTTATATGGAATATTTATCACACTGTAATCATGATGATGATTTTATAACCTCATAAATTTTTCATTTCACATGCTGAATACTATCATTTAGTAAAAAAAAAAAATATTTAAAAAAAAAAAAAGAAAGGTTGACCAGATTATCCGGGACCTCTCACACTTAAAGCGAGAGACATAACCACTTGACCAAGGAGGCCTTTAAACCCGGGGTGAAGTATATGCAGAACTAAAGTCACATACATGTATATATTCATGTTCGGTATTCTCAAAATTTTACACAATGCATGGTGTTTGATTTATTTAGCCTTTATTAAACAGTTCTAATAGATGTAATAAGAACATAAAGTCCGCCGAGAATGTTTTATACGCAAAACTCTCCTCATGCCCCTGTGCTAAAAATAGCGATAAGTAATACAATAAATACTAAAAAAACAAACGGGGCGGGGCACTTTGAGAGGGGCGAGAGACGTCCTGGGAGTTTTGGAATAAAATTCTTTCATAACTCAAAATCTTCTTGAAATATCGCCCGGAAAATGATGGTGTTACACACAGACAGAATGTATAAATTTACGACCTTGAACTTTGACCTTTTGACCTCAAAATCAATGGGGGTCTTCTTTAGGCCACGGGATTTTTATGTAAAATTTCATTGCGATAGCTCAAATGGTTCTCGAATATGTGTGGAAACGAAAGTGTTTTAACAGAAAGAATTTTTTATTTATGACCTTGACCTTTGACCTTTTGACCTCAAAATCAATAGGGGTCTT